CTCGTACTCGTACTCGTGCTCGTGCTCGTGCTCGTGCTCGTGCTCGTGCTCGTGCTCGTGCTCGTGCTCGTGCTCGTGCTCGTGCTCGTGCTCGTGCTCGTGCTCGTGCTCGTGCTCGTGCTCGTGCTGCTGCTACTACTACTACTACTACTAGTATCACCATTACCACTACTACTACTACTACTACTACTACTACTACTACTGCTGCTGGCACAGTTCCCCCCAGTCCTTTTTCGCTTGGATTGCCGAAGCGGCACCCGATCCAACAAATTCAAAAGGAACAAAAACATTACCAATTTAATTCCGTAATTGAACGCGCTGTGCCCTGAGACACAGAAATTCTCGGACCGGCGAGTGAGATTCGGCTGGAGACCGCCGCAACGCCCTGCGCACTGCACCTTCCAGAACTTCAGCATATGCAGTGGTGTGGGGTAAAGCTGAATTTCCGGCAAGGGATGCGAGTCGGCGCAAGGTGTCGGCAGAGCTCCGACATGCTTCAAATGAGTTGCGTCTCCTGCATGCTGAATGTTTGGATGGTCTAACGTGCAAGGCACACTTCGACAATCACGTGCATACCTCGCCTCAGGTGCCTGACCCCAACATCGACAAGCTGCCGGAGGTGACTCGCTCATTTAATCTTGCTTGACCTTTGGTGGACAAAGACTTCATGCAGGGTATCATGAAAATCAACGTGGACGAGCGACAAGCCTTGTGCCACCCTCTGTCATTGCTTGGTGAGCTTGCAATAGATCTCCAGACGGGATGGTCCTGCCAGTTTGAGAGCGACGCAAGGGTCACTGGAGGAGGCCTTGGACAAGGCGTTGGTGGGGGCAAGACAAGCGAATGAGGACTTTGGATTCGAGCCTGTCCGAGGAGCTGCTTTTGCCACCCGACGCGGATGGGAAGGAGGCGATTGCAGGTATTGCAGTATCAGTGCATCCTTTGCCATTGCGCAATTCGCATTTCGAGCCTCCAGGCCACCTGGCATGCAGGAGCTTTCGGCTCAAATTGCTTGGCTGTAAAGGACGAGCCCCTAAGGCCGGAGTGCCTCCAGGCCCGGACGGTCAGCGAGTTTAGGACAGCGCACCCGTGCCAACGGCGCCAAACCGATCCGTTGGAGCTCTGAGGCCGGGCGATGGCACCAAGCCTGAAGCGCTTGGCCACTCTGTGCCTGGTCCCTGTGCGCCTGGCGTCCTTTCGCTTTCGGGATAGCTCCGTGTGAAGCCTGCTGGACATGTCGGACACGCAAAAACTTCCTGTGCCAGGTGCGCGTTGCAAGCGCCGGCAAGGAGGACTCTGCTCAGCACATCATTGGTTGGCAGTGACGCTGACCGGATGTCGTGTTGCCCAAAAGCATCCCTTGGAGGACATCGGCCAGTGTAGAGAAAAGGGCTCTGGCCAGTCCTGCAATGCAAGAATAAGCGAGGATGGTTCAGACAGCTGCTGGTCTGGGTGAGTTTGCTTCAATCTACGAGCAAGATTGTAGCTAGAGCTTGCGAGGTTACTTCGGCTATCTGCTGCTCGGCAGCCAGGTTGTCGCAAACGCAGCGGGCGTGTTTTGATGTTTTAGGTGCTGAGTACTTGTCTAAGGTGGTCTATCATGTCCAACTCGAAGGACACACCCAACTGAGTAGCTTGATTCTGCGCTTTGACGTAGCTGTCTTGACAGTCTTCGTCTGCCTTCGCGATCAGGATGCCGTGAACGGCTACGAGGGACGTTTTCAAGACGAGTCCCTCACAGAGCGGACCACAACAGATGAGTACTACGACCTGGCCACTGACTTTTACCTGTATGGCTGGGGCTCGTCGTTCCACTTCGCGACACGCTTCCTTGGCGAGAGCCTTGAAGACTCCATCGTCAGGCCTGGCACGTGAGGGATCTTCTTGTGGCAAGGGTTTTAGCTATTCCCGCCTTGACCTCCATCTGCTGCGGGAGGGTTGTGATGACGCGAGTGCTTCATGCTTATTCTTGTATTCGCGGCGGCTGCTTTCTTCCGTTCCCTTGGAACCTCTCCTGTGTTTGCGAGCAAGACTAGAGAGAACGAGCCGCAGGCCCTTTGAGGGGTCTGGAACCTTAAAATACAGAGCAGGACCGAACCCATGCAATAACAATGAGCATCGAGAGAAAATGTCACAGCAGAATCAATCGGGCACCTTCAGTAGACTTGGCTCCGGCGGCCTTGACATTTGGAGGGAGAGGGACGGGGTCGGGTGGGAGAGACGACACAAGGCTGTGATCTGTCTCCGAGTCGACGGCCTTTCGCCAATGTTTTCAAGATGCTTGTGACAGGCATGAACATTTCCTAGCAGCGAAGCTGGGGCTCAAGCCTGGGTTCAAGGCCGGCGAAAAGCAGAGACCAGAGCAAGTTGGAGTGTCCTGCAATTTGAGGTAGCTGATCTCGGCATGGGTGTTGGAGGACCGTTGAGGTGTCCTGGCAAAGTGAGCATAATCGGCCACGACCGGTGCTTCACCAGAGACTTGGAAGGTCCATACAGAAATTCAGCAACGCCGATGTTACGGGTGTCACAATCAATGATTATCAGGCCAGGGGAGTGCATAGCTAGAGTTCATACCACTGAGTCGCTCTTGGACGGTGCCCCTGGCAGGTTCGCCGCGCAAAAAAGTTCACGAGGAAGGAGTGCAGCTCTGCCTCAGCAAGCCACATAGCATCCGGGCAGCACAAGGGCTTCTTTTGTATCTGTGTTGCAGCATGTCGTAGCTACTGTATTATGCCCCACGATCTTTGGCTCTCCAAGGAGTACAGGCAAGGAGACTTCACCAAGCTAGTTCCTGACGTGTTTGCGCCGGAGCGCCTGAGCATCGCTTGAGAACGGTCGATCGGATGGTAGCCTTCGGCTGATCGTCAGGAGTCTCTCGATGCAGTCTACTACATCGAGTCTTCCTGCCACATAGCAAACCGCACAGCATCAGGGCTGCAAAAGAGACTGTGTGTGCAATCAGCTGGGATTCCAGTTGCCTTCCTGGCATCCCAGGAAGTCTTTCTGGAGTCGGCCAAAGCCTTAAAGAAGGGCGGAAAGCTCTTTTCCTACGAGTGGCCAGGATGCAATGTAAACAAGGGAAGTAGCTTGGAGAAGTGCCAGCGGCTATCAGACAAATCGTTGGGACCTGGAGCAGGTGGGTCATGACAGACCGTTTCAATCCCAGTGATCCCGAGCATGTGGCGATCAAGAAAGGGATTGAGATCGGCGATGGCATAGAGGCACTCATTGCTCTTCCAAGAGGTTTTGTGCAGCACCGGCTGTGCTGTCAGAGAGGAGCTCGTGGGCATCCGTGGCCCATTAGAGGGCCTGAACAGAAGCGGCTTCCGAATCCTGGAGCATGGCCAGTTGGCTGCGCTTAGCCCAGCCGTCAGCTGTAGCTGTCCTTGCTGCTTGAGCTCAGGTGACTTAGTCGATCTGGCGGAGGCCGAGCCTTCGTCTAAGGTTCATATAGCTGTGCAAGAAGACGAGAAATGCATGCAGGAGTGGTACGGCGATCACAATGTGCCATGGTATTTCGAAATGGTGTGGGGCACAGATGCGGAGGGGCCGGGATTTGAACCTGTAGCAAGACTGCTACCTGAGGCACAATTTTATTCCTTCGCCTCCTTCAGATCCTTCGCGTTATCCGAATTTGGGCAGCGCGCCCTGGGCACGCTCTTGTGGCTAGCCGCCCAGGCCAGGCTGCCGCTGTTCTGGATCCCAATCCCAAGTTTCTTTTACTGGTTTTGCTATCAGTCGCAGGTGGGCCTGGTGCCGGAAGACGCTTCCAAGACCGAACAGATGCTTCGGCACGCGAGCATCAACCTGGTCAAAGGTGGTATCTCAGCAGCATTCTCGAATCTTCTAGAAAACAGGGCTTAAGTGTGTGTGGGCTGTGCCAGGTGAGCTGAAGATCTTCACTCCCATGTACTACGTCGTGGCAGAGAAGGTTTAGCTAGGACGGGCTACGTAGGCATGCGAAATTTGCGGGTCGTGCCACTAGTGCCCGGAAGTGCCTGCAGTTCGTTTAAAAGGTCTACAAGGGCGCAGGTGTTTTCCACCGTGTCACCTGCCTTTTGGAACCAGCACATCTTGCATTTTCCACTTCGCGGTGGCTGGCGACAGAGAAGCCTCAGACAATATGAAAAAATCGTGCTTTTTGCCGTCGCGTATCGTCACATGCCGTGGTTGCGTTGCGCGGTCGGTTTCTGCAGGCCTTGCCACAGGTGTGCTTTATTGCACATCCGCAGTTGTACCGAGCTTAGATGAAAGACAATGGTGGTGAGTGTCCGTGCATCGACAGTAAACGGATGAGCCCATCCGACCGACCTGTGACATGGCTCTGACGTGGAAGCTTAGCAAGGACGCTTGAGTCGTTGCTTTCAGGGCATAAAAGACTGACTTACGGGACAGCTTTGCTACTTGCCAGGATGCTTTTTTCAACACTCGCACCCGCTTCAAAGACATAAATCTAGGGGCTTGGGGCTCATGGCATCCAAAGCCTCGCGACAGCCATGCAAAGCACTCTGGTCTTTGCTCCTTGTGGGCTGTGCCATATGCCTTCGCTGGGAAGCTGCTTTCTGTGGGTCCATCAAGCCTGCAAGGGTGACAGGAGGGATGGCTACTGCTTCAAGGGCGGCAAATGGCTTCATGTTCTTCAACATGCAGGGCTCCGACAAAGAGAAGTTCGTTGTGGGAAAGATTTTTCCGAAGGTAAGAGACATGAAGAATGATTTTTCAGCCTTAGAGTGGCAACCGTTAGATTCCAGAGGGACGCGATATTTCAATGCCATGGATCCAAACTGTGCAAACTACTATGCAGCTGCCAAGCTTGACTCGTGGCCCTCCACCAGGCAGGAAGAGTGGAAGTCGAGAGGTGGTCGAGACTTCAGCTACAACAATCGGTTCCCTACGTTCCAGTCGACAGTTCTTAGGTCTTAGGCATCTTTTTCTTTGAATGTTGGGACCAGATGTGCAACGTGCATCCCAGGAGATGACAAGGTTGCGGTGACCTTCATGGAATTTGTCCCGCCCAAGCCTTTGGAGCTGAAAGCTGGAACAGTGGACATTGCTCTGCTGCAGCCAAGTGCTGCAACAGACATGGGGAAGAAGCTCTACCGCCTCATTTTCCGCGAGACGGCACGTGTTCTGAGGCGTCAGGGCCAATTCTTGGTATTTACCGCCTCATCTGAAAGCTTGCCTGAGACAGCAGCGAATTTTTTCGAAATTGAGGAAGAATCTAAGGACAATCCGGACGGAGTTACCTATTATCTGTTAACTCGCAAAGCGAGGAAGAAGAAAAAGCAGGATGAAGCCCAGAAGCCTCGGAGAAAAGTCTTAGGCTTCACCCTGAACGAGTTGGAAGACGCCTTGGACGACTAGTCTCGAGGCGACCCGAGGCATTCCAAGTGCGGACAAAAATGGCTGCGTTCGTGCCTTCGACCTTGGACCGAGAATCGGCAAGAGAAGTCACAGCTCGAAGCCGAGGCACAGATATTTCTCGGAATTTCATCCTGCGATTAGCTGGCTGATAACGTGGCGAGCCTGTTTCCCTTCTCGCCTGCTTTTACACGTCTATGCAGCCGTCCTCTGAGGAAGCAGGTGCCTACAATCATCATTGGCGCATCTGATCCAGATCCATCCTGGCAGCAGGCCGCTGCACATCTTGCACCAATCTAGCTGACATTCGAGCATTTTATTTAGTGCATGCTGCGACGAGGACGAGCAGCTGCTCAGAAAGCTTGGTGCTGAACTCGTTGTGCAAGCCTCACAGTGTGCTCTTGATTTTGTTTTGGGTTACATGGAGTTTGGGATGTCAGTTTTTTGCGGTGGTCAGGTTAGTAAGCGGGAGAGCCCGTATCCGATGTGCCTACCTGGGAACTCAAAAGTAAAGAAATGCAGCCGTTGCCTCAGTGAGCCAAGTGCTGACATAAACGCTGGGAAAGGGTTATTTGTCTTGATGCCAAAGAAGGTCACATCATTGGTTTCCGTGGAGGAAAGGCGACTCCGGTGGCATTGGGATGTATCTTCGCTAGACTCTACCGTTGTGCAGAATGTAGACTCAAGCAAAGGCGATCGAGCGCGACAAGCTCATGAACGCTGGGTGCTTCAGCAAGTCCTCGCATGCTGGCTCCTAGCCCACGCCTTCAGTCCAGCTGACCTTCTGCGTGGGTTGATTGAGGTCAAGCTGGAGCTGCTAGCGCAGGAGTACAGTGTGCGGTAGCTGGACCTTCGTTCGCTTTCTCTCGCAGAGCGAGATCGTCAGCTCAACAGCTCGTGCAGCGGACCTGGACCTCTAAGCAGGTCGCGTAGGAGATCCAAAGGCTCAAGAGAGCCTTCACGAGACGGCGAGCGCATGCCGTGGAGGAAAGATACAACACACACCCTGTTTTGATGCGTATGATTTGAGAGATTCTACGTACACGACTGGAAGCAGCTGAGCCACTGCTGGGAAATTTCACTGCTCAGACTGGATGAGGGGTGTGGTGGCTGCGGGCTGCTGCTTCCGAGAGACAGCCGTGTGGCCGCCTGAGCGATTCCTCAGCAACTGGCTCTCCTTGTGGGTCGAACAATGCGGAACGGTTGTCAGCTGAGACTTACAGCGGCCAAGATGAGTCCGAGTCCTGCCGAGCAATGACTTTCTCCCATGGTTTTCGCCTCATCGGCACGAGAGAGAATGAATCATGCGATGCAGAGCAGCGCACAGCTCGAAAAGATCTCCAAGGTTTGTGTTCTTGCAACAAACTGCCGTCATGACGTTGAATGGCCAATGCCTCGCACCTTGCAGTGCTTTGAAGCGGTCGTCCTGGTGTTGAAGACACAGGCCGAAGTAACTGAAGTTGGCTTCATCTATCAGTGCAGGACTAAGCCAGGTCTTAGTATGTCCACTGTATAGATGGAGAAGCTTGCCGCATGGCATTGCATGGTCACGCATGTCGCAAGTCCTGAGGTGCGTTCTCTGCGGATCCTTTGCTGCTGTGACCCTAGCTATGACCAGTTTTACAAAGCCCAGTTCTTCACGAACTGTCCGCAGACGGGGCACCTCCGAGGTCTGGGTGGTCGATGCTCTAGAACCCTCAGAGGAGGGTCCATGTGCGTAACCGCCCAGCACCACACGTATCAGACGCATGAAACGCTTCATTGCCAGGTGTCCCACCGGGCCAGTGCTCGAAGTGTCCTGACACGCAATGCCAAGCGTAGCAGGCGTTTTTGGAGGTTTCGCACCTTTGAAGGTACAGGCCACAAGGTGCTCCAGAAGGATGTGGCGCTCTCATTCAAAGCGTGTGGCAATCAGTCGAAGCTTGAAGCACTAGTTCTCAAGAGAGGTCCATGCTGCAGAAGAAGAGCTGCTCGAGGACATGTCACATCAGCTGCTACAGGTATCATGCATTCTTCAGAGACTTGTTCATCCCTTTCACACGTATGTGCTGAAGGACATCCAGAAGCGTTTGTCCAGGGGCAAGGCAGGATTCGCCAATTCTTTGACTTTTTGCTTTAGCCTTTCTTGTAGGACCAAGCTGAATCTCCTTGTGCCCTTCTTCCATGCACCGCGGCCTGAGATCTCAACGATTGTTCTAACGACGCGCCTAACGGATGCACAAGTGCTGGTTCTGCACTCTTGGGTTGGACATTTTGGGTCAGATCTGCGAGTAGGCGGTCTCTGAAAGTCTCGAACATGCTTGTGTATTTCCTGCACTCCCTGTGTGCATGTGTGGCTCATGTCCATCAATATGCTTGCGAGAAGCGAAGCTGTAATCTGTGAGCGATAACCAGCCCGTCATGAAGGCCACTGGAGATCATTCAGAAGGAACCCCTGTCGTGAAACTGTAGTTTTGGCCCCATTCCGACCCAAACACTGCTACTTCTTGAGATTTGAGTTGCGTCCTGCGCCAGTCGTGCAAAGTTCTGCGTAGGCCGTACGTAAGCCACATGTGGCCACATACACTTGCAAATAACCCACGAGGATAGCCTGTCCTCGAAATCGAAGCCAAGGCAGTACATGCATTGAGATCTTCGAGGGCAAGCTCTTCATGCAGTGGCTGGATGATAGGCTTTGACCTTACTCGAAGGTCCATGCTTCGCGCCGACATTGCCAGAGTCCTTGCGCAGAGGGCCAACCTCGAACGGCCTGTTGCATTATGTCCTCAGATCGCTTTGGCCCCGGCATGGCGAGAACTCCATTGTGGGTGCTTTGTTGCGACAGGCCCGAAGTAGTATCCTCAGGCAGTGTCCTTTGAAGCTGATGAAGCACCTCCGGCGTATGTTCGCAAGGCGAAAGACCCGCTCTTTTGCTGAGCTTTGTGATGTGATGTGCCGTGCCTTGCGGTCGAGGCAGGCAAGTGGTCCCTGGCCCAAGGGGTCGGTCCCAAGGACGGTTCGGCAGAAACAGACGTCGGAGACTCCCATGTCAGTCCAGGACTTGGAGGTGAAGCTTCCGTTTCAGCTGCCAGCCGGACAATTCAAGACTTTGATCTGAACTTAGCAAGCACGGACTTCAGAAACTTCACATTCGGAGACCTGTTGTGAAGCACAATCGTTTGCTTAGATTGCCTCCTGTGGTGCCGGCTTTGAGACCACCCTGCTGGCAAAAGAAGAGTCCACGTCCAAGCTGCTGTTGCCTCGTTTGATGTCAGATTCGGAACCTGGGTTCTTCCATTGACACCCCGACAGCAGGGTAGGGGTCATGTATCGCGCGTTGCAGGTGGAGACGCAGAGGAGGATCCAATAACCTGGGAGGCGAGAACACAGCACAAACCTTTCTCCTTCTTTTCTATTCTTAGTGCCGGTTCAACTCTGCGCGCAGAAGCCTGAGGTAAGACGAGAGTTGATCGAGAACATCATGCTCCTTGCAAGCCGGCTGCAAACGAAGCTGCAGCCCACATTGGCGTCGCACTGCTCTTGCTCAGGTCGGTGCTTCCACGGAGGCCAAGAAGTGTGGGGGCGGGCGTTCGCAGACTCGAGCTCTCGTTCTCGAGGACCAGGACAACAAGAGGCAGAAGCCGTCCAAATCAACGTCGCGTGCTCCTCCAGTTGGTCAGGCCCAGACTGATTCTCTAAAACCGCTCCCCATGCTCACGTATGAGACGGTTGCAGGCCCTACCGTTCGTTTCTGACATGCTCCTCGCTGCAGAGGAGGTCGAATTTTCTGAGTAGCTTTTCTCGGACAGCCATGCATGTGCGATCCAGCCCATAGAGAGTTGGTAGGAATTGCCACTGTATCGACATGTTCAGGCTAGTGTTGCTACGGGTACTGCAGCTCCCAAAAGCAGGGCGGCCAGGAGCCCGAAAGGCCGTTCCGGCTTTGGCGGATGCATGCTCTTTCCGTGCCGATTGTTGCATACATATAGTTCAACGGGTGCTTGTGCTCAGCTTGCTACCGCTGCCCTTCCCTGCCCATGCGGCTCAAGATAGGAAGAGCTTGCTTCGCTTTACGAGTCGGCGGCAGAGTGGACGCTTTGGGCCCTCGAGCATGGCTTGTATGCAGGCTGGCATGGCTGGAGCCCCTTGGATGGATGCTTCAATGCAGATGGCTGCTGGCCCGGCACCACACCCCGCTCCCGTCGCGCCTGCAGGCAACAGGGGCAATATGACAGAGGATGTAAGGTGTGCTGTGGTGCTTGTCCTACGTCGTGGCAGCCGCAGCTACAAACATTCTTATCTTCCTAGCTGTGCAGGCCCCAGCCAACCGCTCACAATGGTTGCACCAGCAAATGCATTCTCGGGAGAAGCTGGTCGCTATCCGTGTGAACCCTAGCGCTTTCTTTCCCTGTTTTCACTTTGCACGTGGCTTCTCGGTCTGCAGCGGCTCGTCGCTCAGGTGGTATCGTGTTGCATTCGCGGGTGGTGTTGACCTTCGTCACGGACCAAGTGTAGAAGCACCTCGCACAGGAGAAACGTTGCTCAGCAAGGATGTTGGGCCATCTCTACCCGGCATGGTGATTCAATCTTTGTCCGTCTTTTCTGAATGACATGAGGCTCTGCCAGAACGCCACGCTGGCGGTTGCTGAAGAAATTCTTGGTGCTGACGGACGTGTGTATCTTCGCCTTGCAGATGGCAGGGGCTGGGCTTTTGACGACTCAGCCCTCTTTCCTCACGACCCTTCAGTGGTGTAGCTTGGCATGACAATTCTGACAGTTCTGGCAAACAAGAAAGCGTGGAGTCGTGTGGTTTGCTTCATGTCGCCTTTGACTTCCAGGCGTGGCTACTGGCAGCCCGTTTCCGTCGTACCACCTGGGGCAAACGCAGCAGCCGTCGCGGCGGCTGTGGCAAATGCTGGCACTGCTGGTACAGCAGCAGCTGCCATGCCAGGTGCAGAGGCACCTGCAGGAAACATGATGGGAGGCAAGCCCATGGAGTATGGGGCCATGGGCAACCCACAAGGAAGAGCTGGAGTGAACCCTTGGATTTTGAATTAGACAGGATACCCACATGCGGTATAAGGATGCTTCGCCTTTTTGATGGAAGACCTTCCCATCTTGGCACTGACAAATGCAGCAACGCTTGGTCAGCCCGTACATATGTCGTGCCATTGCGTTACAGCTTTGGATTATCAGCAGGTGAGCGTGTAGCTGTGACGAAGGCTTGTCCTTGCACTGTAACAGATCGCTTGTGCATGCAACACCCGGAAAACAGAGGATCAGGCGAGCGTGTGCCGGGCAGCATGCCTGTGATGCAGTCCAACCGACTCAGCATGTCCTTGCCAGGTGCCACAGGCGCACGTTATGTAAAGACCCCGTTGCTGGCAGCAGCACAGGCAGGGGGACCTGCTTCATCACTTCTCGGCTCCGTACACAGACATTGAAGAAAATAGCAGCAAGAATGCTCAATCATCTTGTCGCAGGCGATCGGTCCCATGGTGGAATCTGAGCTGGCTAATCTTGGAGCATAGCTGTGCTGCGGACCAGCTGACAAGCCGTTGTCTAAGCCTTCAGCGAGCTACCCCCCTGTGCAGCAGACGCTTTTAATGAATGTTGAAGAGCGATTGATGACTGCTCAAGCCCAGCCTTGAAAGTCAAGCACCCGCAAGAAGGCAAGACATGTAAAACTGGCAGCGATGGCCAGGTTAGGTGACAAGTAGGCATCAACGACCCATAGTACAGAAGTTTACACCGCCAGCATAGTTACCGACCCCACCAAGCTATCACACCATCAAGACGCTTTCAGAGACATCCAGTCAGCCAATGCTGGGCAACAATCGAGGACATGTGGCGTCCGCCAGGACCTTTGCAGCCTCACTCGCGCTTGTTCTTCGGCCGTTTATTGCTCAGCTGCCTGGTACTTGTACGGCCTGAGGTCATTCTCGAGGGAGTATGATTCTACTTCCGTCGACCAGGCGTCTGCATCCGTGGCATCCCGCCGGCAAAACAACGGCTAGGTCCAGCTAGGGTTATCAAAGCTCTTCAAGTCCGACTCGATAAGGTCATGGAGCCAAAGTGCGATGCAAACCTTAGCAGCTGGGAGTTCAAAGCTTGCCAGTTGTTGTCCCGACAGGCCACCGCTCGACTTTTGTTTTAGGCCCTTCCGCGTCGCATGCGCTGCCGTACCATCATGCCCAAAGTGCAGGCCTTCGGCTACTGGAAAGTCGAAATCTTGGTTAACGCGCTGTCTGCCATGAAGGCAGGACGGCAGGATCGCTGCGAGGTGGAAGTTCCTTGTCAGCTGAGAGACTCAGGCTCCTGTCGATCTTGTGTGTGTTCGATGCCCTTCGGATGTTCGGCACAGAGCCGGCTACTCTCCAAGGCTGCATTGAGCTGGCGATCGAATTTCGGCCTGCCCAAACGTTTTGTTCCGTAGAGGCACAACCGCATTTGGATGTGTGCAAATCGGTTTTGGAACCCCTTCGAGTTCAGAAGAGGCGAGGATCAAGATCTTGCACAGGAAGCCTTTTCCCGTCTTTCTGTACCGCCAGTTCTGGTTCACGAATTGACGCACGCCTTTGACTTTGCCCGTGCCAAGGCTCGTAGCTTCGCTGAGAGATTCAGGCTATGAAGCATCTTCCCTGCTGCCTGAAAGGTAGACCCGGGCAGCTGCACCCACATGGCCGGAACCACAGCTTCGCAACAGAAATTCGAACAAAGCTTTCTACTCATGTCCTCCGATTGCCAGGCTTGCACGGAAATCCGTGCCTGGAATCTAAGTGGTGCCAGGAGCTTACATTGCACTCTTCTCTTGCAGTTTCTCCAACTTGATCCTGTCGGTGCTTGAAGAATAAGTAAGGAGTGCGACCTGTGGCCAAACTCCTTCAAGTACCTGGGTGAGGATCGGAAACACAGAACAAAAATAGTCGTCAGACAAACAGTACTTTATAAACATCGCAACAGTCTAAAATTCGCAGCAACGACAAATAGGTTGAAGCAGCAGAAATACAACCACGACGACTGATACCTGTGCAAGACATCCTCCCGATGATCTGAAGTCTGCGGTTTCGCAGGACATGATCAACCGGAAGCAGCGATGTGTGCGCGACGGCGCCCTTGCTTCGCTGCTGGAAAACGAGCGCTGCCAGGAGCCAATTGCCGGACTTCACACTTCGGTACACATTCCTGCATAAGCATTTTCTTGCTGCTGTTGTCGTTATCCTTGTTGCTGTGGTGATTAATGGTGGCGATCGTTCACAGTTGCTAGCCGTTGCCATGGTATGTAAGACTGCAAAAAGTGTCCGTGTTGTGCATTTTTATTGTGGACGTTGTTGCGATGTAGCCGCGCTTGCGGCTCAGCAAAGCAGGACAGAGCGCTGGCAGGGGCAGCTCTCCAGGAGGCTCTTGGGATTTCATAAGCGGAAGGAGGCTTTTTCCTTCTTCCCGAGTCAGGCTTGGGATCAGTGCTGGAAAGATTACTGGCCCTTCACCACACAGCCCGCCTGGTTCTCAGCTTCGTGAAGGGGTTCTGTACTGCAGGCGTTTTTCCGAAGACTGGTTGGGAGCATGACCATAAGCTGTATGTAGACTTCGAAGGTCTCACGACGAAGCCGGGCATCCGGCAGACAAAACATGACGTGTTTTCTTTCACAACGACCGGAATACGTAGTGATTTCAGTTACATCTGGCTCAAAGTGCAGCATCACATGGCAGGGGATCGAGCCTGTGAGACCTCTGACTCAGACGCCGTCGTCCATACTCCGTCCAGCCATGCGGCGTCCAAAGTGTGTCCGCAGACAGGCTTTACTGACGTTTCTGCTGATGCATAGTGCAAGCAGTTACTGTGGACGGGAGACTTGGAAAGCTGAGTCATGCTGTCGGGGAAGTTTGGTTTGCCTCTTTTGGCACGGCTAGGCCATTTCTTGCTGAGACCGTCGCAGCTTAAGGAACCCGTTTCCATGCCCCCGACCCTTGTCATGGAGAAGCAGTATTGGTCTTTCTTGTCCACCTACTCCATGAACGAGTTCAGGTTTGCAATGAACAAAGGCCATGCCGGGAAACAGAGACTCGCTTTCCGCATGGCCACTGTTACGGTGTTTTCCGTTTCGCCTGTGCTTCTCCCTGAAGGCGCCTGTAAGGTGGAGACAGGAGTTCCTAGTTGCGTGGGTTTACCCCTCACAGCCGTGGAATGCGCGGCTGCATGCCCCTCATCTGCATGCAGGTCGCATCTTGTGTTGCAGCAGACATGCAAGTCCTTGTCAGTGTTACTCATGGAAGACAGGGTTTGATGTTCAGGTCAAGTTTTGTGATCAGGTGAGAAGAGTGGAACTTGCATTGGCTTTGATCGCCCAAACGTCTACGGCAAAGGCGGATGCTGTTTGTATCATAGCGGTGGCAGCATCACTTCCGACGGAGAACAGGGCAAGGCCTGCTTCATCCTGGAGACTCCGGCAGAAGTCCGTGCGAAAGGAAGCCACCAGTTTGGTGAAGTTTGGAGGGAGCCCTCCCTTTACAGCACGATGCACCTGTCCATTGATGGTGAGGATGGATCCGCCAAGGCGATCATGGACCTGTGCATGCCGTGGTCTCATTGTAGTTTCCGAATCTATACCTGCAAAGGCCAACCGCTCTACGCGTTACATGCGAGGATGATGCAGAGTATTGACAATCCACTGCTCAGTGTATGGGCCTACGAGGTGCGAAATAGTAGCGGGCACTACCTTGGCCGAACTTCTGAGTTACAAAGTGGATACCATCCAATTGAGATCTATGACGCGAGGGACCGAAATGTAGTAACATTGGCCACGGTTTGGTCGACTTGGTCGGCACTCTACTCCGGTACATGGTACATCAACAATCAGTTCCCTGAAGAACCCATCGAGAGGAACCTGATGGCTGATGCGCGCTTGGTCACGTTCCTCGCTGCGCACCAATTCGCTGCGCAAGGATGGTTCGGTCCGTTTTGGTCCATTGTTCTTTGGGTTCTCTTGCTCGTCGCCCTCTACTTCGGCATCCAATGGTGCAGGAAAGAGTGCAAGTCGGATAGCTCCAATGTGTCCATCCTGCTTGCAGAGGCCAAGGAGAGGCTGGGTTGTGGAAAGGAAGAGTCCTCTGAGGAGGAGGAGGCTGGCTGTCTTGGCAGTCCCTCTCCTCGAACGCTTCCGGTGGCAGATGTGGATTATCGGAAGCCTCGGTCAACCTGCTAGCCGGGCCAGTGTCATGTCTCACAATTCTGCTAGCAAGGCAGACATGCATGCTCGTTCAAGACCCGGCGACTTACTAGCATAACGACGGAGTCGTGGATCAAGATGTCGTTGAACCTCCGTTTCTCAAAGGGATCGATCGGATTCAAGGTACAAGATTTCGACGGTTTTTGCAAGCCACGCTTCATGGTTGCACCAAGGACTTGGACACTCGCTGGCGGCAGTCTCCTATGCTGCGCTAGATGAATTGTTTCGCGTGGCCGGGAGAAATTGATCATGGACCTGGTTTGAGTTCTGTTGAAGCCCGAAAGCAACTGTGCAAACTACTACCCATGCTTTGGCTCAAGGTCCGTACGCATGTCCCCGTGCCACCGTAGTTGATTGCACGTGGATCCTGCAGATTCCCGCAGACATGGTGACTCCCGTGCAAACGTGTGTGCCTCAGTCCTCAGCCGGCTCCTTAGCGAGTTGATCTGCTTCTGGCAAGGTGGGGTGCTCTAGGAAACATGGTGCCTGAGCAGAAGGAGTTCGGAGCGGGAGCCTTATAAAACAGCCTTCTGCCGGCGAGACCAGACGCGAGCGAGACTTAGGCAGAGACAAATGCCTACCTGGAGTCATATGAGGACACACCAGCACGAGCTTGTTTGAGTGTTTCAGGTCGTAGAAGCCCCAGGTTCAAAGAGCCTTGTCCTTGCTATTCGCAGGTCTATGATCTCTTCGCTCATCTCCTTCGCCAGGCAAGGTTCTCATGGTATCGACTTGAGAGAGCTTCTAGGTGCGTGGTGCCTTGTGGCAGGTTCTGGTGGAGAGGCCAGAGAACCCTATCAAGTTTCTGCAGGCAACTGGCTGGCGAGACATGAAACATTGCAAAGTACTGTAAGATGAAGTCTCCGTAAGTTGCGCCCCGTTGCGCAGGAGTGTCTCAAAGAGCAGTCAAAGCTTTGCGTTTGCGTGATGGGGCCACCGGGAGTGAATCGGTCCAAATACTGCCAGCAGCTGGCGACAGCACTGGGCTCAGTTGACCTGCAGCCAGCTAGCTTCCGTTTTTCCCGGCATCAATGAGGGCAAGTTGTAGAACTGCTGAGGACTTCAAAGTCAAGCACATTCATGTTGGCAAGCTCTTAAGGCAGGCTTCAGCAAACCTGTAGCCACGCGACATTTGGCCCTAGCTTTGAGCGGGTTCGCGGGCATGTAGAATGCAGTTATTCGCCGCGATCGATACGATCTGCTCGAGCTTGGTGCTCGCAGGGGCAAGAAGGAGCTGAAAAACGTCATCGATTCTGGGGAGCTGGTTGGTGACGACATAGTTGTGGACGTCGTGAAGGACACAGTTGAGCGGATTCGGCTTGGGTCTCTGTCAGAGTGTCGCTGCGAAGGAAGAGCTTAGAAAAGCCAAGCATACTGGCTGGGCCGTGCTCTGAGCCGACGGTTGAGCTTCGTGTGCTTCACGCTACAATGCCTGAAGGTCCTGGATGGCTTCCCTCGGACGAAGGTGCAGGCCCAATCCCTGGCGGCTGCCAGCAAGGCACCCTTCAAACAACAAGCCGGAATGCGTTCGGTGCAGCCTCCCGTCCAAGCCCACGATCCCAGAGCGCAAGGAGTTGGGAACCAGCTTGGACAGCGTGTTGCTGCTGGACAGCAGCGAGGCCACCACCTTTGCCGTTAGGGAATGTGGATAATTCACCGTGAATCCCTGAATTGCAGGACCTTGCTAGGCACAACTTCGCAGCCAAGGCCGTGTAAACCAGCTCGAGCTTGGAAAAGCCAGGAGTCTTGGCACGCTGTGAGCAGTGCAGGTGGATGCTGCTGACCCGGCGGTGAAGCGAGAAGTGGCCGAGATGCGCCTGCAGCAGTGCGCTGGTGCCGATAGCGAATCGTGTTCGTCCCCTGCCCACGTGCTGCTGCAGGTACAAGCGTCATGTGCTTACCATCAGCGAGTTCTTCCAGAACTCCGCCAGACCCCCAGTCGGTCGACCATGGATCCGCCATGGAAGTGCGCACCCGGTTGCTGGAACACAGCAGCTTCATGCTTGTAGAGCGTCCACTTTCATGAAGAGCCGGATTCAGGTGCGCCGTGTTGAGATCCATGGAGGCGTGCGGCCTGCCTCATCAGGTGCCCAAAACTCACTGCTTTGCAGATGGCTGAAGGAGAGGACGAGCAGAAGACCATCTACAGCACAATCTGCAGCAATGTACAATACAGAGCGCCGATGTCTCGGAGTCCGATGCGGCTTGCAGTGGTTCCGGTCTGAAATATTGCATGACATGCGCGTGAGGTATTCTAATGCACCTCTTCGGATGCAGCGGGTGTGCATTCTGGGGCCATGTGGCTCGGGAAGGAAGCGAACCTCGATGGAATAGAAAGTGGATGCTCGCCTTTTCTGAAACCGTGCAGGACTACACAGTGCCAGCTACTGGCAAAGAGACTTGGCGTGGTCCATGTAGTAAGGGCCCCGGTTGAGGTATCAGCAGCCGGCAGGGATAGCTGCGGCTTGGAAGCTTCAGGACTTGGCGACGCTCCTCCGCGAGAAACAGGAGGCCCGAACACACATCTCGCCGGCAGCGTGGAAACGCGGGATCTTCTGAGGCTGAGGGCCAAGAGGTGGACGAAGTGCCACCGGAATACCTCAGCGACGAAGAAGCATGTGCTTTGATCGGAGCGCCCGAGCCTCAAAAAGCGCTTAGAAATGAAGAGGCCATACCATGGGGGTTTAGAAGTGCAGCCGCGCGAGCTTTTAGGCGCCTGCGCAAAACTGATTGTGTTCGGAAGGGCTGGGCTCGCAGCTCAGCAGGAGAGAGCCTTCTTTGAACTTCTCTTCTGTGATGTCCGGTGTGATGGGCTCTCAAAGAAGCATTGAGGTCTTGGATGGGTTTCCAAAGACACAGGCACAAGCTGAGTTCCTCAGGCGCTTGACTTGTAGAGGCTACACGTTACTGACTCGCCTGGTGTACCCGGATGCCCCACAAATGCTGCAGGCAGGCTCACTTGTGGCCATCTCGCATCATTCAGACGAACCGCCATGTTTGACGGTCTCAGAGCGATGCTGCTTCAGTGGGCCGTGCGTGTCCCAGGCTCCAGGTTGCGGATGCAGTGGTGGAAACACGAGTGTCTTCGCGGCGCCAGGCTCTTGGCAGCCAAACCCATCACAGCCTGACCCTGACAACGCCACCAGCCTGGCCCTAGGTCTAGATCCAGTGACGGGCACCGCGCATTATTCGTGGGGAGCTCGGGCTTCAAACAAGGGGAGCTTCACTTTCCGAGTTTCTCCGGCTCAGGAACCCCAACAGTGTTGCTGTCCGGCAACGGTTAATCCGTTGCAAGCATGACGAGGGAGAGAAGGCACGGCCCATCGCAGCATCTGAACTGGAGACCCGCTCGGGCAGAAAGTTCACATGTCAGGTAAAGGAGCGAGTCAACATGTTCTTGGACAATGTGTCCTTGGTGTCAGATTCCTGGAAGCGAGTGTGGGCCTCGTTCATGCTCATGTGGCAGAAGGTTCTGTAGCTCAGACCGGAGCATACGCACTCTTTCGGCTCAGGTCTTCACCACGGTTCTTGCGGACGGCCAGCCGGAGGATGTCGCCGCAGGACGGACCAACCCATCGCAACAAACAAGAATCGCATGGACTGTGGCCAGGCGTCTATGAGAAAGTGGCAAATCCGCTTCCTTCCGAGCTTGCGCAGGACTGCTGTGCTTTTGGGGTGGGGCCCGTGGCTGATTCCTTCGGGTCGGTTTCGAATCGGGGCAGGACCCAAACAGCGGTCTTTGAGATGTGGACCTTGCGAAGGCAAGCTATTCGATGTCATGTTTGTCCCCGCCTCACCCTCACCGGAACCAAGTGTGTCACAATGAGTTTCACAGGAAGCCGAAACATCGGTTTCTAGCCATGTCGTGTGACAGTGATCTAGCAGCCAGAGCATCTCTGCTTGCTATGAAATATCTCGTGCTCGCACAACGACAACATCGCAGAGCTGTGTTTTATTTTGGTGGACTATTGCAGCACCCAATCTGCAGCGAGCGTGCATGTCACATTAAATTATTACAAGTCTCACTCGCCCTGCACGCAAATGGAACTACTTGGAAAAACGATGCGACCACTTGCCACTGAGGTTTCCAAATGGCTCTTGGAGTTTCCGTGCTTTCGTGCTGAACCTCCACGCTTGTCCCAGTCAGGTTCCGGTCTAGAAAGCTTTCCTCGAAGGTTTCCCCTTGTGCTCCATTTTGCAAGCCATCCGGGAAAGTATCATTCATGTTCTCTATCGAGAGAAGCTGCCACATGCTGCCACCATGCCAAGCTCAGTCGCGCATTACGCAGGAGGAACTTGTTCAGATTTCCAGTGTCGGGGGATGGCGTGGTGGGGGATATTTGAAGCAACGGAGCATGTTCGAACAGACGGCAGCCAGATGAAGCTTACGAGTTCCTTGTTGCGCCGCCTACAGCATTTTCTCTCAAGTCTGACGGAGAAAGTAGTCACAACTTGACGATGGTAGACAGCAGCCTGTGAGTCAAGAGCTGATGCCTGCCGTCGTGGTTAGGCATATCTTTTCTTTCCAGTTGCCCTAATGCAACATCTTGGGAGCTGTCTCTTTTGTTTACTGTGGCACTTGGATCTTGCCAAAGACTTTCACTCTTCCCCAAGAGACAGCTGTGCTGCGCATCCGCCGTATATTGGGGATCTCATCCTTTCACTCTGCGCTGGCAACTTTCCAGAGAAGTCTGTTGCGTCACCTTGGGTTGTTCATTTCTATGCTGGGAATTGCAGGCGGTGCCGGGAGCTGGCCGTAGCCCTTCAAGACGTAAGTGCTCCTGCGCTAAAACTCGGCATCAAGGTCGGTGCTGTGGACTGTCATGACACCTCCAATGCCCAGCTTTGCAGAAGATACAAGGTTTGGAAGTTTCCCGTTCTTATGTTTCTTGCCAGTGGATCCCGGTTCACTGGACCCCTTGCAACTGCTGAGATCATGACTTGGCTCGGTGAAGCCAGTGAGCCAGGACTTCTTGCTCCGGCGCAGCAGAAAATGAGCGTCTGCCCAGCCTTCCATCTTTATGAGGAGCCTCAGCTCGCCAGAGAGTTTCTGACCGCACATAACATTTACAGATGTGCTGCGGGAATCGACATGCTAGAGTGGGATATGGCCGCGTTTCAGACCGCTCGCAGCTACGCGCAGAAGGCTCCAACAGACAGGCTGGCCCACAGCAAAGCCAGGGAGCGGCAGAGCAAGCAGGGAGCAACCTTCGGCGAGAATGTGGCAGTTGGCTTTGGCCTCTGGCCGGGGCAAGTGGTGGCCCGCTGGTACGATGAGATTCGAAACACGCAGGGTGGGAAGTTCCGGCCCAATCGCGCCGGGCTGGGGCACTACACGCAGCTTGTGTGGCGCAAAACACGACGAGTCGGTTGCAGTTTCGGCCAGGATCGACGTGTGGCAATCTGCCACTATGATCCTGCAGGCAATGAGAGGGGAAAGCATCTGTCACAGGTCGCACCCCCCTTACCGGGGTTCTTTGGTCGCGAAGGACAAGAGCGCTGCGGTGCTATTGTTGAAGAGATCGGCGCACCATGATAAAAGAAGCGAGCTGTTGGAAACGGTTCTGAGCCATCAGTGCCATCACATGTTTGCACAGCTCTGGCTAGCGTCATCTTGCCTTCAGATTCTGAAGTGTGCGCCGGTGCACGGTGGCCTCAGTGTACATAGCACTGAGAGTCTTCTCAAGGGTTCGTTTAAGCATTTGCAAACTCGCAAAATCTCGCAAATATTTGGCAGCAGGAAGTCGCGCAGAGTTCAAGCAACATCGGCTGAAAGTGTTCCAGGCAAGTAGATTGTACACATCAGCAGCTAGTCTTGCATTACCGTGCTGTGACGGATTGGGTTGGGATAAAACTTTGGGGCGAAGCGCTCAGTCTGATCCCGGTCCGGCATGAGTGAGCCAGTATTGCGGCGACATTGAGGCCAAAGCATGCCCCGCTTTGAGGCAAGCGAGTTTCGGCATGCGTCGGGGGGTCGGTTGGTTCATTACTTCTCGTCCTTTTCTTGAGGAGTTGTCACGCACTGATCTTTGCTCGGCGGCAGAGTCCTCAGGGCATGCCGGGTGACCGCCCGTGGCATCTGCACTGGCGAGTGCATTTTGGCCAGGTGTTGGACATACAGAAGGGCCTGGCGGACCTGACGAAGCGCCTAGATGCTGTCGGGGAGGTGCCCCGACGACCACGACCTGAGTCCAAGGGAATGTAGAGTCCTTGCCAAGGAGAACACGCTTCTCCGGGAGGCTGCTTCGCCTCATGCCCGTGGAGTAGTCTTCACTTCCCGGCCTGCAAGGAAAATGCCTTACTGAAGGATGCCATCGACGAGCGCATAGAAGGAGCCAGGTGAGCAGCTAACGTTGCGAGCGCTGACATTCCTATCAGTTCTGGTCAGTGCCAGGGATCAAGGCCCGCGTGCCGCTGGCAGACGCCCGGAGAAGGAGAGGCCGGAAACCGAGACCCGCCAGCCTCCTGGTCAGTCTCTGTCACCCTGTGAGGTGACGGCGAGTGCGAGCTAAATGCGACCTAGATGTCGTGTTGCTCTTCATTCGATGACGAGCTGCAAGATCAAAAGTCCGTATTGCAAAGCACGCAAAATGCCGTGGGTGTGTGGCAGCAGGAAGCCTGCAAAAACTAGATGCTACACTGCTTTGCGACGTCTGATAAGTTGTCTTTGGCGTCGTGCAGCAAGGACGACGAGCCGACTTACCCTTTTAGCTCGGGAACATGCCCAGGAGCACTCCTGTCAGCATCCAAAAGCAGAGGTACTCCCCATAGGTGGGCAGGCTCCAAAAGCCAGACATGTATGTGTACATGATTTGCGGCACACCTTTCTGACATAATGTATAAAATTGAGATGCCATGAGTCAGGCTATGTGGTGCAGCTGTTTTAATTGCTGCAATCCATACGCGGCCAAAGTGTTCAGCAGGCTTTTCTGGCAGTGGCCATATCATGCGCTGCACAAATGTGAGACTGGTGCCTTCCACGCTTTCTACTCGTTTCGAAGCAGTGCAGGCGAGTGCGTTCAACAGCCAAACCCTCTCGTGAATACTACCGACGAAGCGACACATATTGAAGCTGCTTCACTGCTCAAGATGCCTGAAGTTGCTGTCATCAGGACATGGGATGCACAGATGACTTGTGGTCCCCGCTGCCGTAGCTGCCACCACCAGCCATCCCCAAATCGACATAACCCGATCGTTTTTGTGGCTGCTTTAAGCTTTGAGCCATTTTGAGACTTCCTCAATGTTGCCATGCGCTGCACCACTGCAGTCGCTTCAGGACTGGCTTGAAGTTCCAGTTCTTTGTTCTGTGAAAGTGCATGGATCGAATCAGAGGAGATGCCTGGTGGTCCTGCCTTGCTATACAAGGCTAACTTCGCTCTTCGCACTGGGGCAGAATCATGTCGAGACTTTTCTCGGAAAGGCGATGCCCCCGGCACCTGGTTTCCCAGCTTCAATAGCTGCACCTTCAACAGGCCAAAAGAAGGGATTCTCAACACAGTCGGCCTTGCAACTTCGCACATGGATGCATCAGCTGCAGGCCAAAGCGGACTGATCAACACGATGACTTTGCCGGAGCACGCCGCTTTTTGCTGCAGCATCCTCGCCTTTGTTCGGATTTGAAGATCTTCCCGAGATAAGGTATCGACGGCGAATCGTGGAAATTTACGCGGTGCACAAGCCAGACAATGTGCACAAAGTTGATTATCTGTTGGAGAAGCACCGACCCCGCTTTCAGGGCTCCACATCAATGTGTCTTTGTGGGAAGAGGATCACGAAACAACAGTGTTTAAGGTACCACGGAGACGAAGAGTTCTTGTATCGGAGTATCTGCGAGAAGTGCCCTGTGCATGCTGCGACGTGGAGAAGTTCACAGAATACAATGACTATCCTACAGAGTATCCTAGGGCAGGACTGTACAAGAAGGCACAGATATCATCAGTCATGTGCTCTGTGAAGGTACAGCGTGGACACATCGCAGTGGCGGCTGCCTTGTCGTGCTGATGACAAGTTGAGGAATTCGGGGAAATGGGTTGAACCCCGGGCAAAAACAGAGGACAGCCCTGTCCGAGAAACCCTTCGGGAGGTGTAACGAACTCAACAAGTTGGTTGGAGAGCGCAGAACATGCAGCCAGTGCAGAACATAGCTAACCCCTGATCTGAGAACATGACAAGGTCATACGGTATCACATCAACAAGTAGCAGTACGAAGTGAGTGACATCGTGAAGTCTATCAGACGATGAAACTTAAAGCTGTCTGCCTGCTGTGTCTGCTTGCCCGAACTGGCTCTCTTCCAAGGGCGATCTCCTCTGCTGTGGTTTGTCCAACATAAGAGAGAGCGATGGCCTGGCCATGACTCAGACGAGTACAATAAGGGGCACAACATGTGGGGCCCGGCAAGGAACATGCGAAAGACCTGAGCCGATGCTACACAGGATCCTGTGGTTTTTGGCTTCGGTCGTGCTTTGTTTCTGGGTCCCTAAACCCCAAACCCTCGGGACCCCAAAACCCTAAACCCTAAGACCCTAAACCCTTAACCCTAAGACCCTAAGACCCTAAGACCTTAAGGCCTTAAGACCCTAGGACCCTCAGACCCTAAGACCCCAAGAGCCGAGGTCCAATCCAGCTCCGAGCTCCTTGAGCTCCGTGGCGCCCCCGCCACCGCCGTGGGGCCCTCGGCCTGGCCCAAGTGCTTCAGAAGCCCAGAAGCCTTGTATGTTGTATTCTGTGATGCTCTATCATAATAACATATTACATTAGATCAAATTATATTATGTTGTATTATATCATATTAGAGTATATCTTATGATACTATAGCCTATGGTAGTATATTCATTTTCAATTCAAAGTCCTTGGGCCCTCGGATGGACAGACCCAAGAAGGCCGCCGCCTCCAGCTTCGGGGCCCGGTGCTGCGCGCCTCTTCCTCAGTGGTCTGTTGCGATGTGCTATGATGCGGCCCGGTATGTCACGACACGGTCTTGCATTCTGTGATGTTGTACGGTCTTGTAGTCTGTTCTACATGAAAGCATTCTATGATATTCTGTTTCACTCTGTTCTGTTCTGTTCTGTTCTGTTCTATTGCATACTAACATGTCGCATTATGTATGTTAAGTTTTACAATGGTTGCTTATCATGCTAGATTATGTCAGTCGTATCATGTTATATGATGGTATACGATGTTATGCTCCATTCTATGATTGCTTTGGCGTTACACTGTGTTTTCCACTTTAGAGTAGGTTTCCATATGCTACTTTATATGTTATGTTATTCCCGAAGCAGTGTCGTACCAGTATGGGTTGGAAACGTTCAGAGTGTGCCTCTCGCTGTGGCGCGGTGCAGATTTCATCGAAGTATTGACGGAGGATCCGGTGTGCTACCGCTGCAGGAGATCCGATTCATTGTAGAATCCAACGTATCGACCGCTTTCTAGTCGAGTCGCAGCAGCATGTGTCAGAAAATATTTTGTTTGTCCTTGTGGATCTTGTGGATTTCGAAAGTATAAGGGTGGAAGCATAAACGCCGTCGTCCTGCATCCCACCGGTACTTCGGGTAACACATTTGGGCCCTGGTCCCTGATGAGTGGTTTCTCGGTGGTTTGCTCGTCTCCTGGTTGTCGTGCTCGTCGTCGTGGTTACCTTGCACTGTTTGGGGATCGCTGCTGGCATCATACCATATTAGGGCATACCAACATACTGTCATGGATCTTGGATGCTCTGCTGCCTCCAAGGGCCACCACCCTGGGCAATCGGCTGAGACCATCGTTCGATCACAAACCCAGAGCTTGGACCTCGCCGCTCGCGATGGAACAGCGAGGCAGTTCAAAGCCAAACTGCCGCGTTGGCTTCTTACCGAGCCCTGCTCGATACGCCACAGAGGCAGGTAGCAAGCACCATTTGGCAATTGTAAAGCGTCCCAGGTGGTCTGCCGCACAAACCAAAGCCAGAAGTGCGCTTGTCGCTGTGTCAAAGCATGGCCGACGGCTCATCTGCCAACATGCACTGCAAAAGTGTCGGTGGGAATTTAATCAGACGCTGGGCCACTGAACATCTCAGGCCCTCCAGTAACCCAGTTTGGGGCTGGTGGGGCTTCGCATCAGGCGAGCTCCCCATACTTCCTGCTTCAAGCCATGTTGTGTCCTGTTAGGGCCATCCCAGCCCGACGCGTGCAGGCTCACGGCCGTGGCTCGTTTTAGGATGCGCAGAGGGTTTTCGCGTGTCGGCAGCCGAGTGAGGCATTGGCTTCACGCCGCCGCCTCCTGCTCAGGCCGCCTGGGCCTCGCTGAAAGCATCTGAAAGCACACGCAGTGTCACAGGGCTTGGCAGCATCTTGACAGGCTCCGATTCGCCAGAAGCACCAAGTTATGGAATGGGACCCGGCTACTGGCGAAATGGTGGCCACAACAGTCGACATTGAGATGGGAGAAGCGCAGGCCACGTGGGTTCCGAGTTGCAGCTTCTGCTTTGTTTTCAGTGCGTCGTTCTGCAATCTGGCGTGCGATGTCTAGAAAATGGGGAGATCGGAAAGTCGCTAAACGGAAGCCACGTCGGCCGACGTCGTGAGCATCAGCCGATGCCTTTTCGAATCCCTTGTTGACCCTCAGACACTGTGCGGCAACATCATGAGCATCAGCTTCAACTCCCTTCACCCGCATTGGCCGACATCATAAGCATCATATGCCTGTCGTTTCAACCTTGGGCGGGCCCTCCTGTCGTGGTGTCATCCGACTGCTTTTCGACTCGACCCGGGCGCACGGCGCGGCAACATCATGAGATTCTAGCTAGTCCTTTCAAACCTTCTTCACCTGCATGGCAAACATCACGGGCATCATTTGCCTGTGTTGTCAACCGTGGGACCATGTGGGTCGGGGACAGCTAACTGCTTTTTTCAACTCGACCCTGCGACGCTGCGCGGCAGCATCATGAGCATCAGCTGCTGGTCCTTTCGAGCCCCGGGCCTGCATGGGCCAACATCATGAGCATCATGTGCCGGCGTTTTTTGGCATTGGGATCATTTGGGACGGGGTCGGGATTATGAGCCGACTGGCTTTTCGACTCGACACGGGGAAACGGTGCCGAACTGGCTTTTCGACTCGAGGTCGGGACACGACTCGGCCTTTCAAACCCCTTGCTTGGGCCAACATCAGGCACACATCTGGTCATCTGGGAATGCTGCAGCCACCCTCAGCTGCATGGACACAAACTGCGCGGGTTGAGAGCACAAGCCGCGGCATGCAACGGGGGGATAGGAGGTTCGGCTGCATTGAGGAGGATTGTGTCAGCGTGCTTGGGGCCAGTTTGCGTAGGTGCCAAACGAGAAGGTGGAGTCGAGCACAGTCCCAGAAGCACCTATGACCCCCGCACCTGCGCCGGAGCCTGCCTGGAGCCAAGAGGGGCCACAGCTAGGGACTTCCCCTTCCGAGATCATCCGCCAAGGCGAGCCTGGCACCGGTGCCTGCGCCACCTGCACCAGATGTTCCACAGGCAAGGCTTCATGGCATTTCATGGCCCCGGGCTCTCGTGCACATCTGATTTTTCAACATGGCAGGTTGAGCAGGAGAGCTACGATCCTTTCAGCACGCCCCTTGGTCTCTTTGTGTGACCAATCGAGCTGATGGACATGAGACAGGTGCTCCAAGCACTCAGCCCCGCGAGCTCGACATGGCGGGCAGCGATTCTGTGATCTTTTCAACACCATCTTCGGTCATGAGCATCGGCTTCCTCAAATTGCCTGGGACAGGCTCTAAGGAGCAGCTACCTACACTATCGTCATGAAAGCAACAGAAAATCGTCGGCAACCGTACAGGGGGTGAAATCATGGCAGAGTCTCCCCAGCAACAAATGACAGATTCCGAGCTGCAGGCAGAATCGGACCCTCAGCGCAAAACCTTGCAGCCGCTGTAATCTGGTACTACTACTAACTTGTAGTATCTTCATAACCAACGAACATGCGACCTCCTTCTGCTGCCTCATGCGCGGTGCTGTTGGGCGGCTCAGTGGTGGCCTCCGGTAGCTTCGTGCCCGACTTCTTGGCATGGGCAAACCCATGGGATGGACTGAAGAAGTATCTCTTCACAGACGAAGTGGAGCAATTCGAGGTCATTTCGGACAATGCTTCGGTGTTACACCATGAAGTTGCTCCATGGACGAAGGGGAGAAGGGCTGGCTTGCCTGGAAAGCTCGGTCCAGAGTTTGCAACATCAGGCCAGGCTTCTGCATTATCGATCCACCGCTTTTGAGGTCATGGGAATATACCATACTGACACATGTCCAAGCCTGCAGGGTCGGTGGAGGGAAGAAGACCCGTTCCGAAGGCGCGGGCTTAAGCAAGCGGCAGCGTGTGCCGGAAAACCACACTCTGACTCGTGAGCGTGCAGTCGCAGCGGTCCTCCTCTGTATCCGAATAGCAGACCGGGAACACCGGTCTTCCTTAGGAGGCTGATGTGACACCTCGACATCTGCAGTGTTACGTATCTTGCATGCCTCCAATCTCATATGCAGAAGGTCGAGGTTGACGAATTCCCCGGGCGATTGGACGAGTTCCGCCACAAAGAGCCCGTCGTTCTTCGCGGCTTAGTCAGGCGCTGGCCGGCCACGAAGGAGTGGACCTGGGAGCAGCTTGCAGACCCTGAAGGACAGCAAAATGGTCTGTGGTATGTCGTTATTAGCTAGTACGTGTAGTTAGAGAGAAAAGATGTTCGCTTTTCATCGTTTTTGCCCCTGAGGAAAGTATAGGCACTTCCACCTGGAGAAGCATCTGCAGCAGTTCTTCTCGACCCATGCAAAGGCAACAGGCCCCCAAGATGTTGTGGTAGCATTGCTTGTTTCCTGTGCCAGAGCGAGAATCTCTTTCTGGAGAACATCATTTTGAAGCCGCCTTTCTCCAGCGACTGCCCTTTTGCGCAGTGGTCTCAGTACAAGGGCAGTTTGTGGCGAGTGGTGCCTCCAACCCAGATCGGCCCAGGGCAGTCACGCAGCAAGGCGACGGTCCCAACAAGGTCCTGGGCAGACTTTCGGTTGCAAGGCATGTCCTCTGCTCTCCAGTGTGCGTGCACGCCAGAGTGAGGAAACTTCCTGCCGCGGCTCAACGAGGCCAGCGGGCCTTCTTGAGGATTGCCGACCCTGTGGAGCCGTGTCAGGCATGGTCAGAAAGCAAGGCGCAGGCATTTCAAGCCCATGGCCAAGTTCAGAGCAGCTTCGGCGGTCACTAGCTCGCAAGCGCCCAGGCGGGGATGTTGGAGGACGAGAACTACGCCGAGTCCGTGCAGGGCTTTATCATCGCCGGCCCTGCCGGTGCAGGAGGCATGTTGCACGTGGATCCAGGCTTGGTCCGGCCAAAAGGCAATGCAATGATCCCTGGCTTCCCCCATGCCTCAGACTCCACTGCTTACTGGAACGCCTTGGTTCATGGCCGCAAGCGCTGGCTCTTCCTCAAGCCCGAGGATGCCTGCTGCATCCTGCTGCACTGGTTGCATTGTCATGTTGCGGCGGTGTAGTGCAGAAACTCCTCTCTCTTGAGGAGTTGGAGGCACTGGCGGAAGCCGTCGCCAACGCAAACTTGGGACAGGTGGGCTTTGGTGGGCCCGGAAACATGGCGGCCCGTGCAGCCCTCTCGAATCGACAGGAACTTGGGTTGCTCACGTTGCCTCCGACCAACGTGAGCAACGACCTGACGATCAGACACATCAAGAGGCAGGAGCCTTGTTTGCAACAACTGCTTTGTGTGACCTGATCTCGTGTCGGATGGTACACTTCGGTGTAAGGTTGCTGCAGAAAGTTCCTGCCATCCATTGGTTTGGGAAATTGCTGCCACTTTTGCAGCAGGCGCCGGAGCGCACGTCACCGTGTGAAGTTCCAAGACCAAACAAGCCCATGGCGATGTTTCTTGGGCAGGCGAAGCTGGAGTTTAGCCATGCAGAGGTTATCGTGGAGGCGCAGCTTTTTCTTCGTGTATTCAGTGCGGATGGACTCACTCGCAGCCATGGTCTCGTGATCAGAGACAGGCAGGGGAGCTCGTCTTTGGACCCCCCGGTGTTTGGCACATTGCCTTGGCTCTGGAGGCTCTCTTTCAGATCGCCGTTGATTCGTTGTGCTCTTTTTCTGGAGAACAGGATTCCATTTGCTGCAGCGAGCAGCTGATAGATGACGGGAATCTGCTCCGCTTCGTCAAGGCAAGTGCCAGCGGTTTCTCGTTCTCTGCCTTTCACGCCGTTCCACCCGATTTTTTTCTTCGTTCGCTCTTTTCCAGGATGAAGGGCAGCCGTACGAGCCAGCGTTTGCTTACTTGGGCTGTCAGGCCGGCTTAATCTGTGCACAACTCCCGGTAATTGGTTGAAGGGGTTGCTTTCAAAGGCTGCGAAAAAACATTGGCCCGAGCTGCTTGCGGGGAGCTCGGCTGAAATCTGTTGCAAGGCCCGGTGAGGCGTACAGGGGGTTTCGTGACGACGATGCTGACGAAGATGACACTGATGTTGGTGATGAAGATGAAGATGATCAAGATGAGGTGATGATGATGATGATGATGATGATGATGATGGAGATGGTCATCATGATCACCATCACCATCATCGCCAACATGACCGTCATTCACCATCACCATCACCATCATCATCACTACCACCACCATCATCATCAGCGTTATCATCAGCGTTATCATCATCATCATCATCATCATCATCATCATCATCGGCATCACCAGCATCATCAGCATCATCAGCATCATCATCAGCATCATCAGCATCATCATCATCATCATCATCACCATCATCATCATCATCATCATCCCCCAACGTCCTCATCATGACCGTTCATCATCATCAACATCATCATCACCACCACCATCATCATCGTCATCGTCGTCGTCTTCGGAAGCTAGACAGCAACGGTTGCTGGCCGACGGGAGTGTGTTTTTAGCAACGTCCTGGTTTCTTGAAGACCTTGTGGTCGGTGTCCTCCCAACCTGTAGCGCCAAAGCTGATTGCACTTCAAAGAAATATGCGGCCAAGCCATTCAACGACAAGCTATGTTGCCCCAAAGACGCGCGGTTCTTGGGACTCCGACTGTCTCTGCGAGAATGACAGTTGCCCGGATACATATGCTTATACTAGTCGTGTTCGATTCTTCGTCCATCCTATAGTAGGAGCGGATCACAGCTCGCTGCAACATCAAGCTCAGTGGTTGCAAGCTTTTTTCGCTCTATTGCAGAAGAAGCAGGTCAGACAAGGGGCAGGGACGAGGATGGCTCTGACACAAAGACGCCGGGAATCCACGTTCTTCGGAACAGAAGGTCAAATCTTATCAAAGACGCTGAGCTTTTATCCCGAAGGCCCATGTGCAAGCCTCGGAACTGTGAACATTTCAAGTTCTGTGAAGTCTGCAGCCCGGGTGCTGTTATGTTGCCCGAAGCGTCGCGCCATACTCGGCTGCATTCCCCAAGATATCAAGACGGGCCTGTTTTCGCTCTCCCGGTACGAGATACCAAAGTCCCTAAGACAATAGCAGGAAGCCTCCAATGTGATCGGGACAAGGCCAGACTTCAAAGGGCATAATGGCCAACGCTCAGACCATCTCGATGGAGGGCGGCAGATTGATGGGCGGTTGCACTGGCTCGTGGTCGCCTTTTCGCTTTTAGTTCGCTAGAAGTATTGCTCGCAGCTAGATGACTATCGTTGTTCTAATCCTTAAGCAAGTTCAACCTCTCTTCATGTGGATACTCTGCTGCAAGCATCTATTTGCTTCTGGAAAGTAGACCCCCCCTCACATCAGATCCCACGATTCGTGCATGGAGTTGGACCGAACACTGCCTTTGCTGAAGCATCTGATGCCGCCATCGGTGGTGTCGTTCAAGCATCCTGTCTGCGTATGTGTGCGTCATCTCGGGATGCATGCCTCCTTAGTAGCAGGCTCCACCAGTTGTAGCCTCGATGGCCCGGAGAGTCGTAGGAAGCTCCCCTTGTTGCTTCTTTCGAACTCAAGAGCAAGCTCGTGGAAAAGCTTGGCTCGTGGCAGAGCTGAGGAGCCGATTTCGGCTTTCTGCAGCCGTGCTGAGCGGGATTTGAAGAGGCCGGAAGCTGACTGCCAAATGCCGCCAGCCTGTCCTTGCAAGATCAATCCCGCAGCTCAGCATCGCAGAATCTACTTGTGCATTGGCTTGGACATGGGCAAGCATGCACTTCGATGGATTGTGCTTTTTGCCGGCAAAGCCAACGCAGGCAAAGCGGCTTCCTGCAGCCCAAGCGCAGAGGCTGATGTCTGAAATCTTGGAGCGCTTTGATACATGTGCGTCTTCTTAATGGCGTGCGTGTCCGTCAGCCTGCCAAGGCCCAGCATGCAACGGTACTGACAAGGGGGAGAAGTCCAGCTGTCGCGCTGGATGAAGCACCACTTATTCGGCCCCATCTGCGGTTCGGGCCCAAGCTTTCGAAGTGGCGATCGGTGGTATGTTGGAGCTTAGGAGCTGCTAGCTTCTTACTGCGGTCGCTACAAGGCCTGGAGAAGGCGTGGGCGCACGGTAGCATTCTCGCAACAGAACCTGCCCATGCGATTGCTTTCTTACTTACCTGCAGCGCTTCGTGGACTTGTCGTTGATGGCAGGAAAGCAGCCGACACCACCCTACAGCAGGGCCGGAGCCCTTTCCGAGCCCTTTCATTGCCAGCATGCCTGGGAGTTCGGGTGGATTGGCAGCAGGTGCAGCAGCATGGAGCGGCGAGCAGCAAGAAGAAAATGTCCGTGTGCTGGCCATTTGGGCATGTAATCTGAAGCTGTGCCCTGTGCCGAACAACGGTTGCATGAGATCACTTGAGCACTAGCAGCCTGAGCAGAGCAAGTGCCAGTGGCAGTTGCTGTATGGAGCAGGTGGAAATCGACTATCTTCTTCTCGGAGGACGGAGTGGTTTCTTCGAAGAAGTCTACACAGGCCTGCGCTCTTGGTGCATACTAGCCGACTGCCGTGCATGCATAGGGATGTTCCGAGAAACACTCGTGCACTTTGCAGGTGCTCCCAAGGTGATGATCAAGCATCCCCCTCCAGAGGCACGCCCGAGCAAGCAGGAGTATGCCCGAATACGCCGGAGTACGCTCGAATGCGCCCGTCTACGCTCCGGTATGTCCGTGTCGCAGAAGTCCCGGACCACGAAAACGACGGGGGAAGACAAGCACCGAGGGTGCCAGAGCAAGCAGTTAAGTGACATGCTCGAAGAGTGCCAGAGCAAGCAAAGGTTTAGAGGATACGAAATGTAACATGCAATGTAGACATAAACAGATAAACAACTAAGAGTAAACAGCTTCTATAATCTAATGAAAAGCATCTAATGAAAAGCATCTATCAGGGTCCCTGGGTCACGCGTTCAGCTCCCGCACGAAAAGGGCACGAGGTGCCGAATTGTGTAACAACCTTGGAATCGCCAAATCCTACTAAAGAGTTGGCGTTGGTTTCTCTTGTGGCACTCTGCAGTGTTACGAAACTAACTTCCCAAGCTCGTTATGAGCCTCTGGCATCCGTTGCCGTAGCAAGCCTCCGACATGGCCTTTATCCCAGCGTCCAACCGCGGGAGCGCAGCACGATGTAGATGTCGGCAACGAAGGGTTAGGAGAATGCACCGGCATTCGGTCGAGCAGCTTTTGCAGCAGGTTACCTTCGCTGGACTGGCGTCTGACGGTGGCTGGAGTGCAATCAGACCGTACATTGCCCTATGCTTGAAGCGCCGGAGTATCTTCCGTAACGCGAACAGGCTGTCCATAACGGGAAGGAAGCCGTAACAGGAAAGGAGCCCAACTCCGTAACAGCAACCGGCCGGTTCCCGCCAGGGCCCGCTGGCAGGCCCTCGAAACAGGAACTGAGACTTTCACATCCAGCATCTCCTCTTGGGTCTCGAACTCAGGGACTGCTTTCCGGACCCCCACTCACAGGGATTCAGACCTACATCTTATTGAACCCGAAACTCTATGTGCCCCGAACAAAGAAACAGAGGCGTGAGCATAAGGCTTTAATGGTCGCAAAGTAGGGGACCGAAAACTGGTCCCCCACAGAAAAAAGGTTGTAACATAGTTTACGCTGCCTGGCTTTCCAGGGATAGTTCCTGTTACGCTCGGGGTGCGGTTCCTGTTTCTACTAGTGCCCGTTTCTGTTACGGTGCGCAGAACTGGTTTTTCCCCCTGCACGTTGAGACCTTGCCTTAATTTGTATTCAATGCCGACGCAGGCTGAGACATCCGAAGCTCCAGCGGCGCTCAGCCGTGATGGTCAGAGCGAGGTGATGCCGCCAGCAGGCGCACCAATTGATATTTTTTCCGTGGGCAGTTGGTTCCCTTCGGCCTTGGTTTGATCCGAGTTTTGCGAATGCTATGCAGGGGAGCCACCTGGCGATGACAACCAGACAGATCGCCCACAGGCACATACAGTGGTGGCTCGCGAGCGGCAGTGAATACTGAACCTGTCTAAACGTACTCCGTTGAAAAATCTCTTTGTCTGGTTACCAGCAAGAACATTGCTTGCAAGGACACGACGATGCTGCCCGGCGACGGAGACGACGCTGGCATCGACCTGAGATGCAATTCTCTTGGTCGCACACGCAGCTGGGCGTGATCCAGGTCAAGCGGCTTCCTTCGATCCCTACTTGATGGCTTCAGCCGGAGACTCGACCTGCGTTCTTTGCACAGATGGGCTGCGAGCTTCTATACATGCTGCAGAGCTACTATATGCGCTTGGCTGGTCTTGTCTGATCTCAGCAGGGGGTCAACGTGATTAGCCTGCCAAGGTACAAAGCCCGCCTAGGACCGCTGCTGAAGAGTCGTCACAATGAAAACGAGCGTGCTGGCTGCCGGAATCTTGAAGCAGAACTGGTCTTGTCTTCCTTCGAATGGCTGAGAAAGGCTGCCGCACAGCATCCGAAAGACAAGAAGCGACGAGAAAACGCGAGCAATTTATGTAACCTTCTCGGCTCGAGACGGGCCTCCGATTGCCCCCATGTTGCAATGAAGTGTTTGGCACGCTGTCTGGTGCTGAGTAGCACAGTGTGCTATGGACTCGCCATTAAAGCTCGCGGCGTCCACCCGAACCTGACGCCGCTGTTTAATGTGAAGGCGGCCTTCGATCGCAAGAACATCGATAAGCTCAAGGGGCTTTCGGCCACCCTGGACAACGAAACCAACCAGATCGTTTTGGTGAATGCCGTGGAGGATCAAGCAGTGTCATGGGCCCGACTCGCCGATCGATTGAGCGAAACCGGCTGGATGGAGCTGCATGTCAACACTCCCAAAGGTGCTTTCTTTTCCAATGATCTGAAAATGTACAGCGCAGGGATTGTGGAAGGCTACCTCACGGCGGAACGCATGTCCCAGTTCTACAGCAATTTCTATCCTTTGTTACAGCCGAATGAGGATTCCACTCTTGCCATGATGAACATCAGGAACTCTTTCAATCAGCAGATTCAGCACATTATGCGCATGTGCCACCTGGCCGCCGGCACGGCTGAGGGAGAGCCGGCCGATCCATACTGGAAGCACGTGAGGTATCTTTTTCTGCAGATGTGGGGTTTGAAGGATGCCTACAACCTCGTTGCGGGAGAGAAGGGCGTGCGGACAATAGACATGGTTGATCTGCTTTTCATCAATTCCCATGCCGAGCTCCCTGAGCTCATTGAGGCTTTCCGGCCGCAAGCGGTGGCCGAGAGAAGTGGCGCTGCAAGCTCCAATGATGCTCCCGACGTGCAGAATTTTACATCAGGATCGTTACTGGAAGCCCATGTGTCACAGGCTGATGCTCTAACGATCGATTCCGACTGGAAGCTCCGATTGGCAAAGCATGGCCACTGCACGGCCCTCGTGCGCCTGGCCCCTGCAAATTCGGATCTTTTCATTGGACACACCACCTGGGGCGACTACAGCAAAATGAGTAGAGTGTACAAGTACTACCGATTTGATCTGCCTTTGTCATTTCAGTCACACGAGATGATGGGTTTCAGTTCATATCCTGGATGCGTCAGCAGCACCGATGATTTTTATATGATGGACAACGGCCTAGCAGTGATGGACACCACGCTGGAGGTCCTCAACCCGAAGTTGTACAGCCGGGTCATGGATGACCCTAGCAGGCCCCGGCTACCCAAATTTCTACATGTCATGGCTGTGAATCGCGTGGCCAAGACAGGCACGCAGTGGACGTCGATGATGGCAGAGGAGAACACAGGCACCGGGAACTCACAATGGATTGTGGTGGACTACAACAGGTTTACTCCTGGACAACCTTTGCAGCGAAATGCGCTCCGGATTCTGGAGCAAGTTCCTGGCATGACGCATCAGGCGGACATTACCACGGAGCTCACTTCGCGTGGCTATTGGGGTGCCTTTAATCGTCCCTTCTTTGAGGACATCAGACGGATGTCTGGACACAAGACCGCTGAGGAGTCTTACGGCAAGCTCTTCTCCTTCGAAGACTCACCGCGAGCATCTCTGCTCCGCCGATTTGGATCCGGAGTGAGTCAATTGGGCGACATGCGTTCAACCATGACGCGCAACGATCCGAAGGATGCAGTTCCAGGATTCCCTGCCGGGCCAGGGCATGCCATCATGGCCCGGCTGGATCTGGACGCGATGGTGAACAATATCCCGAATGGCGGAATTGATGCGAAGGTCACAAGTGCTTGCTTGTTCAAGCGGATGGCTTGTCAGGCCATGAGCGGACCATCGCACGGAAGCTACCCTGCATTCCGATGGACGAGCCAGGCGACAGACACAGCTCCTTCGGCTGAATTGTTCCAGGGCTGGCCGCACTTGGGGTTGCCAGATGTCTGGGATTTCGACTTTGTCGAGATGAGCTCTGACGAGGACAAGCTGGCAAACTCCCAGCTGAGTGACAGCTGCTAATCCAGCTTGCTTGAAAAAGGCGCGGTGGCTGTCTTCGAGGATTTCTTGAATCCATGTCGTTGATTCTCTGTGCATCGTGTGCAAAGAGATGCACTGACCGCAACCTGCCGAGAAGTAATTCTTCCCTGCAGTATGCTTTAGTTGATCGAAGCCAGGGCGGCCTTGTCACGGTTCAGCTCTGCTGTGCCTTACTTTGGGCTTCGCCAAGAGGCCGCGGGTAGCATCGGTACAGGTCTGAATCACAAGTTGCGGCATGGATCACGAACACGAATTGCTGAGCTCAGCCATAGTAGTGGTAAGTAAGGCATTCACTGTTAACTCCGATTAAGGTCACATGCCGAAAGTGATCTGACAGTCTTGAGTCTCTCAGTGTTGTTCACTTTGTAGGCTTGTCGGACATCTTAAGTCCAATGTAGCCATGACGTCCAAGCCATGAGTTGGTGGCAGGGATATACATACGAAGGCCCGAGAGTAGCGAGTCCCGTGCCTTGTGGTCTTCGGCGCCCTCAACAGGTTGGAGAGATGGCTACGCAGAGGCTTGCCGGGACGTAGTGCCATCGGGATCTCCCTGGAGCCAAGCTGAAATAGGATGTATGGTCTGTCCCGTGCCTATCATGCTCGATCTCAGCCCGGCGAGGCCGGCAGTCGCCAAGCATGGCAAGGCTGTCTCAGACAAGAGGGCGTCCAGAAGCCACTGCACACACTGACAATGCTCGTACTGTCGGCAGGTGACTGGGGCAATTGGTGGTCTGGCCGAGACCCATGTTGTTTTTTCAGCGGTCGCTTTTGTGCTGCACTCCTTGTTGAGGCGCTCCGCGAGGTTCGCAGGCATGGCACGAGGAGAAGGCCATCAGAAGCAGCGAATGATTGATAGTATCAATTTCAGGCATCGGGCCTTGATTGGTTCACGGAAGACTATTCTTTTGGAAGGGCAGGGAGGGGTCAGGGATATGAGTGGTGATTCACAGATTCAGCGGTTGTTGGTTCTCGGTGCGGGGTGGGGGGTTATCTTGATACTCCCATCTTACACTCACGCGCACTTGCACATACACCTACTTACATTTTTGCTCGCACCGTTTTGCGTGCACACACACACACACACCTACACGCATGCGCATCGTGCCCCACACTCGACTCAACTGGTGTCGCCGGGTGTCAATCTTGTTGGGGTGCAAGCTTAAGTACGTTATGCTGTGTCGCAGACCTGCGAACCATCCAACTTCTGATGTCCCAACATCATTCAACGATCACACAAGGGGTAAATCATTGCTGCACAGTCAGAGCAGTGCAGGCTCAAACCATGGTGCAGTCGGACAAGGGGGACATATGTGATGCACTCGCTTGACAACTTGAATCTGACTTTCACATACCACCACTCACACGACAGTATGTAGAGGAACCGCTTATACTCAAGGGCAATGAACTGCGGTCTTCCAGCCTTGGGGCACGTGTTGCTAAATTGCAATCGGCACTCACTTCCAGCTAGCGTTCGAACGCAATCGCGACACACCGGTGGACTTTCTATTATGAAGGCCAGTCTTGACCAACTCAACTTGACTGCGTATCCCATGCTGTCTGGTCTGTCGCCCTCCATCGACAAAGTGTGCACATACGCACGCACAAAAACTACACTTGTACAGACATCGTGCGGCATGAAAACAGCAGACACATGCGAATATGCTTCAAGCAAGCAGAGCGAATCGTGCATGGTGTTGTAAATCTTTGTTCGATCCATTGGACGGACTTGTATGGCGATGCAAATGATGACTCGGACTCGATTGAGCAATGCACCTGAAGCTTTGCACTACTACCCGCTGGGTAGCAGGATTCAGGCATGTAGCAAGTCCACACAGTCGGTTAAAGCATAGCTTTCCTCGGGTGTCCATGGCTTGCCTCTCAAGTGCACGTGAGGCAGCAGAGTTCGGGTGGATTGATTTCCTTGGCCTTCTTAAAAAGTCCTGTGTACAAGCTACAAACCCTGTCTTTTTGTTGCAATTTTGTGCTGGCTGGCCGGTCGTGCCGCAGTTTGAGATGTACTGCAGGCGCAGATGGTGGACCGACTGTAAGTCTTTGCAAAGTCCAAGAGGCGAGAGCACATTCTTCTCGAAAGTTTGAGGGTTTCATGATTGCCACTTGCCTTGAAGCAGGTCAGCAGAAGCAAGGAACACGGCCGTCCGCTAACTCATCACTGATGTCCTTGTCACGACACCGGTGACGACTTCATGCGCCGAGGCTGCTCTGAAAGATTCAGTACCGTGGTTGACCAGCAGGGAGCCTGGGACTGTTGCCTCCACGGCATCTTGCCATATCTTGCCATCATGTCCCACCTGGGAAGGTCAAGAACTCGCAAACGCCGCGCGGGCCGCTGCACTTGCAAGGCACGAATGGCTGAGTCCTCGCCTTGCAGTCGTGATCGTCTCGGACGTGTTTTGGATGGTAAGCAACCCAGAAGAGTCCTTCGTAGTTATCCTGAGCAGAGACGAGCTTGTCTGCTTTTTGGACAGAAGGACTTGTGGCAAGCTGCTCGCGGACGAGTTGCTGCAGGCTTCTTGAAGCTGCGCTACGCGAGCGGCTGCAAAGTGTCTGATCTGCGAGGCGACGTCGATCAAAATGCACGCACCTCAGCGCAAGACCAGCGGCAGCCGCCTGGTGAGTTTTGAGATTCACATTTGCTTCTCAGGCCAAGTTCCCGGCCCCAGTAGCTCGCCGACGTCGTGTGGACACTTGCAAGGATCGTCATGCGGTTTCGAAGTTTTTCGTCCGCAGCCCACGCTTATGTCCCAGCTTGCAGGCTGTTGGCTGTGGACCTGCCACTGATCAATGCAGGATCCGAATGTCGTCCTTGGGCACTCCAGCGCGTGCCTTCTGCCGATTTGTGTTGGAAGGCGTCGCCTGTGTACTGCACCGAACCTTCGAGCCCAATGCGCGAGACACTTCAAGCACTGCCGGTCCCTAATCGGATTCTGCAATGAGGGCACCGTGCAAGTGTTGCTGCTACTCGCATTACTCGCACTCAGCGAGGCCTGAGACCCTGGAAGGGCGCAGGTGCAAGGCAAGCTGGCTTTCGAGACCTTCTCTGAGGCGGCATATCCCAAGGTGGGGATACCGACCAGTTGTGCAACGCAGAGACCTGGCTTCAAGGTCGTGCACTTCAGCGATCAAGCTCTACATGACCTGATCTGGGAAACATGCTGAGCATTGATGCCGGAGCTTCTCTTGCAGCGTGTCTCAAGATTCCCTGCCAGCTGGTTGTCATGTGGACCTCAGGCTTTTGCAGCAGCCGGGACCTTAAATCAGGGCCGACCGGCCAAGGGAGGCTGTCTTGAGCTTGCCGAGGTTCTCTGCCACCCGGGGCCTTCGTCGAAATCGACCGCTGCCAGGACAGATATTGTTGAGTTCATATTGAGTGCTGGAATGAGCCCGGAGACAGGGTCAGATTTCCTGCTGGGTCTAACCTGATGAACATGGTGCGAGCCTCGACTTTTGCGGCCAACTATTTTGCAAGAGTTCGTGTTCAGGTCTGGTCCTTCACAAGGCTGCAGCTTCACTCACAGCCCACGCTTGAGGCAAAGAGTGCAGCGAGATTCGCCCTCTTCTGGGAGAGCCAAACTCAGAATGATCTGCAGATTCGAACCGCACTTCGACCCGTTCCTGCAACTAAGCGTGAAAAGCCCAAGCTCTCTGCACTCCACTAGCATGTGCAGTTTCCTAGACTACTCTAGGGTCCGTTTTGGGCATCCTTCGTATGACAGTGCCGTAACTCCGGAACCCAGATCTAGCGCGAATCGCTACCTGCATGTTCATCGCTCGCCGCATGTGCTCGTCGAAGTCTGCGCTGAATGCGAAGGCCATCTTGGATGAGGCAATCTTAGGCAGCACCTCGCTGCAGCTGACGCTCGGTGGCACTGGAGCAGCTGAACACGTTGGATGTTCCGCAGCGCATCGCTTTGCAGGTCAAACTTCGGCCGGGCTCGTGCAGTGACGGCGATCATGGGCGTGGCGGTAGCCTGAAACGGAGGGTCCTGAGCGCCCCTGCAGCCGCAAGGGAAGAAAGCAGCAATGGGCACCAGGCGGCCATGGCTTCGGCTGCTGGACAGGTGGCCTGCTGCACGTAGCCGCCCGACACCCGGGAGAAGCAGGGTCCCCCGTGAAGAGTCCGTCGAGTCATAGGCTTCGCGCTTGCAGCTAGGATCTATTTTCGCCGGCCCACAATGTCGTAGCATGTTCATAGATGCCGAGATCCGTTCAGAGAGAGGACTTGAAGACGCAAAGAAAAACTCACATGGCATCTAGAGTCTAGATGGCCTGGTGACCAGCATTCAGAATAATTTCCAGCGCAAGTCTTTTGGACGAGTTGGACTATACATCTGCGGAGAGATTGAGTCTTTCTCAGTCAAGCCTTTTGAAGAGGTAAGTCCCGAGCCTCATCCCCCAGGCACCTGCAGGGATGGACCACGCAGCAGCTCACCAACCTCGCCCGAGGTCTTGCCAAGGCAATGGCCACTTATGCGCTCAAGCTGCTACCCAGCATCAGCATTGTAGGCACTTCATGACCGTCTCGAGTTTTTGGCACCTTCCGCATCTGGGCTCAGGGAAATCCCAAGACAGGTCGGGTCCAAGGCGTCACAGCCGCCATGTCGAAGCTTAACATCGACAACCTCAAGAAGGGCATTGTCGGGACCACGGGTGTTGGCTAGTCTGAAACAGGTGGGCAGAACATATTCAGTCGTCAACATGCTGCTGGAGAGATCCGCACCAGCTGCCAACATCGAATGGAGTGACAAGACTTCGTTCTAAGTAAAGACTTAGGCCGGAATCCTCGAAGGCAGCAAGGAGAAGCAGCGAAAGTTCCTTGAAACTGCTCACAACTTAGTTTTTGAGACAGACACAGCTCAATTGCATTGGTTCTCGCGGCACAGGTTGAGCTGCAGATCGGCCTCAAGGATTACGACACCCAGCGCGACAAGCGTTTCGCAGGCCATGATCCCGAGCTCCAGTGAAGGGATTTCAGCAGTTTCTCTTTGGGCAGTAGAGTGAAGAAGGATGGTGGAGCATTCTTGCACAGCCTGGGGCCCCCGTGCCAGGCACCATCAAGCTTCCGCACGTTCCCCGTCCACGCTTGAAGGCCTTGCACATGCACGACGTTCAACATCGTGGATTTTCTGATCTTCCTGGACCAAGGTGTGCGTTCTGGGAGATGCTGTTCACTGCGAGCAGGCCCAGCGGGCCGGGACCTCGATTCCTTGGCCCCGGCGCTGACGCAAGCGAACCCGGTGATGCTCTGGAAATGAGGCTAACATTCCCTTCAAGAGCGTGGAGGACAGAGAGACCCTTACCATTGCCATGAGAATGCATCAAGCCCTGGGTGGGGAAGGACCTGAAGAAGCTGAACAAGAACAAGAAGATGGTTAAGAAGCCTGAAAGCTTGGTTATCTGAGATCCTCTGGATCTTTGCACGTCTGAGCTCGCTACTCCGTGAGGTTGGCCGACAGCTTCGATGCCTTCCTCGCATCTCAGGCTCAAGCCGCGCTTCGAAGACATCTTGATATGTAGCACTGCTTATCAGGTCATAAAAAGAGAGTGACAATTCACAAGCAGTTCCTTTAGTAACTTTAGTAACGTTATGTAACGTTACTCTTGCCACTTCCCGTACTTGTACGAGCAGCAGTGGCTGTGGTAGTGTCGTCGTCGTCGTCGTGGCAGTGCAAGTACGGGGGCAATAGTCAATTGAGTAGCTGTGCTGAAAGCCATGTTATTGTTTACTGACAAAAGTACTTTACAATGCTGGGAGCACAGTAGTGAAAGGCAAGTAGGGAATGCTACCGACAACGCGCACACACACACAGAGCGATCAATAGCCTTAGCAGCAGTATACCAGGGCCCCGTTGCCTTCAAGAGCTACTCCATTTTCCCGGCAGGTCTTGATCCCACAGATCCCGCGATTGCTGGGGCCCGGCTTGAACAAGGCTCCGCAAAGTGCGTGATATCACCGTACAAATTATTGGGGTGTTTTGGATTTATCGCGATTATTTCGTACTCACATTTGGTTTCACGAAATCACCTTTACAGGAGCTTGAGCTTCGTTGGCCAATTCTGTCGAGACCTAGCTCCACCATGGGCCTCCCTTCACGGAGGCGTCGGTTTCAAGCGGATGGTGAGGGATCGGTGGAGAAACGAGTTCCAGCTGATGCCAATGATGCTCATCTGGGGTTGCGGCAGAAGCCGAAATGACATCCTCAGCTGCTTCGTGAGCTTTCGTCTCCCACTGGGCACAAGTGATGTGACGAATCGTCCTTGCAAGAATCGTTTTAGTTGACCGATTGGCTGCCCATCTCAAGAAGAATCCGAAGGATTCCGAAGGATATCCGGCCAATGCACACCGCGTTCTTCTGCTGAAGTTACGAACTCTCAAAGCTGTGGCGGAATCTGACAGGCCGGCAAGTTCCCGACTCTGGTGCAGCATTCGGACAACTTGGAGACCAAGGTGACCGAAGTCCGGAGCCAGGCAAGGCGAATTCTTCTTCTCTTTTGCAGATGAATGTTACTCACCATGCCTTTTTTTGGGGAAGTCAGGTGCCTGACAGATAAGAATCTTGCGACTATTGCTGGCTAGGTGAAGTTCCAGCTGAAGAAGGTGCTCTGCATGGGCGTTGCCGTGGGCAACGTTGCTATGACACCAGATGAGCTGAGGCAGCACGGCAACGACCTTTACACTTACAAGCCTTTTTGCACATTCCAGGTTCCTCTGCTCGTAGAAACTGCGACACCTGGTGCGAGGCAGAATTGCCTCATGGCGATCAATTTCTTGGTGTCCCTGCTGAAAAAGAACTGGAACAACGCTACTTGCCTGCCTTACGGGCTTCTTTATGCATCTTTGAGCCTTCCACTCTTCGACCCCATGCGGTATGGCACGGCCCCAGGTGAAGCGCCTGCACATCAAGAGCACGATGGGCAAGCCTTTCACCATCTATGGATAGACTCTGCGCGAGCTTTGGGTGTTGGGACCCGCCTTGGACAGAAAAGACTCTCGATCTGGGGTTCCTTCATTAGGGCCATACTCTCCGGCCATGATATGCCCTGCTGGGTCTAAACACCACGGCACGGTGCAGCCTTGAAGGCGCTGCTCTTCGGCCCGGCCGCCATGGACTCTACCGGCACCGGTGTCCAATCGCAGATTGGAGGCTGGTCACATCAAGGCAGCTTCTGTTGAACTGTACAATCATGACACCTTTTCCATGTGCCCACCCACGTCCACTAGAGCGCTAGACTCACTAGATCCTTGTCCAAAGAGCAAAGCGTTTACTTTTGGTCGCGTCTAATCTTTGCATCCGCTGCAGGCAACCAATGTGATGTCAGCCTTCAGGACATGGTGAGTGCCCCAGCTTGTCGCAGCAGGTCGCTGGGATGCAGCCGGGGGTACCAGCAGAGCGGCCGAGGCATCTGCAGCCTGAAACTCTGGCACGCTGGAAATGCGCCATCAGCCTTTGATGGATGCAGCTGCCAGAGCAGGATGTCATGCTTAGCCAGGGTCGAAGAGTAGAGGGGAACTGTTGGCATGCGGAGGTAACGGGTAACTTTTTTCTGTGAGACGACGAGCTCCGGCATGCAACTGCAGCCTCTCTTGACGTCAGGACGAAGGGCAACTGAAGTTTCGCCGCAGGCTATCACAAACGCCAGGTCCCAAGTAGGTTCAGGTTTCGAAATCCATGGTCCAGTGTCGAGTCTTTTGTTTGTTTGGTTTGAAGATGTCAACTGGTTTCGGATGGATGCCACCACATTCTGGCAGAGGATAAAATGTCTAGTGAGTAGGCTTTCCCTGGCCGACAGTTCCACGTCCGCTTGCAGAAGTCAACCGCACCGTAGAGGGCCTACGGACGGAAAGTCGAGGAAGGAATAAGGGATGAGAGGTGGAATGATATTTTTAGATATCATACACAACCTGTAAATATACACAGACACACCTAGATCTATCTATTTATCCGTCCATCTATGTATCTACCTACCTACCTCCCTACTGTAACTATCTATCTACCTGCCTATCTATCCATCTATCCATCTATCCATTTATCCATCTATCCATCTGTCCATCTACCTATCTATCTATCTATCTATCTATCTAAGTATCTATCTATCTATCTACCTACCTATCTACCTATCTATCTATCTATCTATCTATCTATCTATCTTTGACATATATACATACATACACATATATATGCATAAATGCATGCATACATACATACATACATACATACATACATACATACATACATGTATGTATGTACATTAATATACACTTACAGACGTACATACATACCTATATACATACCTGCATACATGTAGGTACAGACAGACGCACGCGCATGCACGCACACACACACACGTACACACCAAGGCGTTTTGTCCGATTTGGGCGCAAGCGTTTGGCATGAGCATTTTCACGGAAGGTGAAACGGAGACCCTCCACAAATCTGATAAAACCGGTATAAACTCGTTTGTGTGTGTATATAAATAAACAGACTAGCTACGTGTATCCTTCTATATACATATGAGCATACATATATACATATGAGCAGACATATGTGTATATATATATATATATAAATTCATGTACGTATATATATATATATACATACATACATACACACATGTACATATATACATATATACATTTACAGATGTACATAGGTATGTATACTGCACATGTATATGCACATGTATATGTATGCAAGCCTAGCAAGAGCCAACCCGGGCAGACAATTTTCAGAGAAATAAACGACCTGCAGGATGGAATACATAATCCGTGGGAGCCGAACAGTGCTACTACATGCGGGTCTCTTGCAAAATACATCAAAACACCAGGTGCAAGGACACGCTCACACACACACACACACACACACACGCACACACACAGACAGACA